CTGCCCACTTTTGTCGCAGATTGTTTCACTAACTGTGGTTCTCCGACCGCCAGTGTTACGTATCAGTTGGAACAGTCTTTGACTTCCCTGATGCAGCTGCGACTTCCACTTCACTAGCTATCTTTGCCCACCAGTTCGCACGATCTTTCTTGAGGCTCTTCTTGAGTTGTCGTTGCAGACGCCACCTACCCCTGCCTTGACCCCGGGCGGTGGGGATTTTCCGCTTTTTCTCCAGTGCCACTGAATCATCAGATATCCACTGCCTCGGGCGGGCTACTTCTTCAAACCCACAAGCAACTCTCTCAGCGGAGTGCACTGCTCGGCGAATCTGATCCCATTGTTTATCCACATTACCACCCCACCGAACGTTTAGCTATTGCCCTAGTTCTGATTCAAAACGGGCACGAAAGGTTGAGTCAGATAATCGATGATCTGCCAGTCGAGTTTGGTGGATTTTTCTGCTACCAGTAAGTTGGATAGTGAACTGCATCAACACTNACGCAAGTGGTTCAATAGGACCTACAGTTTTGTACTGAGCCACGCCAACGATAGCTTACTGCTATGTGGTCGATTTGAGTTAGTGTACCAGTTAAATTGGAGCGCCACGTTGCTGTCCGTTGAGAGTTGTGACGGAAGTTAGTGCTGGATAGGAACAGATGATGATCTGCGCAGAACTGAAGAAGTCGATCACCATTATCTGTTCGCTGGTAGGGCAGAGCACATTGACCGCCCATAGGCAAGCTTCCAATGCGCTCAGTGTTCCGACTTGAGCGTTAAAATCACCTGCGAGAACAACTATATCGGAGCTTCGACTCAACCGAATGAGATCAGTGAGTTTATCATGAAGGTCGTCCTTTTGTGCGTGTGGTCTACTTGGCGAGAAACGAACAAGTTGTCTGAGGGAATGTTACGGGTTGGAAGAAGGGATAAAGGGAAAGGGTTGGGTACGGAAGATAAAGAGTTAAACAAAGGTTGGGATATCTGAGCAGTAGCCCACTTATCACTACCCACCCTTTTCGATGCAATGGGCAGCGTGGTCCTGATTATCCTGCGCGACGACCGATGCCGTATGGAATTATTTTTTGTTTGCGTATGTATTAGAGTTTGATGGATGGTTACTGCCAGGGTGTCCAGCCACTAAGCAGGAGAACGATAAGGGTTGTCGTCTAAAGCCTCTAGTTCTAACAAGAACCTGACCCCCAGGCAGCGGGTGAAGCAAGGTAGAGGCCCATTTACCTGGATCAATTACTCTTACCGTTTTACCGACTGAGACGCCAACTCGAGTTGAACCCCCAACCTGGAGGACCAGGAGACTGAACTTCGTCTGACCTCTACCCATTGACCTTCCATGAGTGATTAAGTCTTGATTAAAGCCATCCTGTGTAGCTCGTTGGGTCAAAAAGATGCACCAGCCATCACACCACGTCAAGGTACAGTCTCATCGTGATGGTGTGGGAAATGTTTGCTACCGGCTTTTGCACCACAGGTGCTTTCAGCTCTGAACCTTTTAAATACGATTGTTATTTTTCTTATGAGTTTTTGTCGAGATTACTATAAATTAAAGTAGTTCCGTTCGATTTTTGCAATCGTTATTATTACGTTACGCATCTCTAATCAATGAAATCTGTGCAGCTTCCCCAGTCAGAATGAGATCGTGACCTGGACTAACCCAATCCAGTGATAATATTTTGCCTTGTGTTGGCGCAAAACGCATGCGGAGCATAGCTACACTATCGTTAAAAGATTGTGATATAACCCGTGAAATCAGAGTAACGAACCGGATTTACGATAGCCTAGTCCCGCGAGGTAAAAAATGAAAAGATTCAGTGACCAAAACGAGCATCATGCGAACGCGCTCATCACAAGAAGAAGAAGGAAGGCGGACTTTTTACGCGAGTTTCGCTCGACCAAAGAGCGATTATGGTGCACAGCTAGTTCGTTTATAATGATTTTAACGCTCGGTCATCAGTTACTTTGAAACTTGCTGGGAAACCCAAAATTTTCAGGAGAATGACCTATCAGCGGCGGGCATAGCTAGTGGTTCGACGTGAGGCTTTTTTGGTACGTAAAATTGAACGTTTGAACCTCACGGACAGCAATAGATCAATGAGGAGAAGAGAGTCAGCATAATCAACTCTGAAGCGAAAAATCGACTGTTCTCTATCAGGTTTTAACCTAACTTTTTCTTCACTTAGCTAAAAAATAGTTTGGCTTCTCGGAGCGTATCAATGTCGCCGTCCTTCATTGAGAACAGGCTGTTTCAAGGATCATGGCCATTGCAAAGTTAAATAGAAAAGAAGAAAGATGGTCAATCTAACGAACATTCCTTTGCGAAGCAAATTCGGGTTAAACAGAACCGTAAGCTTAAACTCGGCTCTGGTTATTTATGCATTAACAAATAAACTTCTCCTGGTCACCGTTTTAAGTGAAGAAGCACCAACTGATCGACTGATTCGAAGGCCGCTTGTTGCTCAATGAAAATCGAAATATGGGGTCTGAGAAAGAAATGTGTTATTCAGACTTCGATGAACGGTTAATACGGTGGATTCATCCTCAAGCCGGTATAAAACTAGCCTGATTTTCCCGAGTGCAAACAACCAACGGGGTGAAATACCATCACAAAGTTACTCAAGCTAATTCTTCTGTGATTTTTCCGTTTCTTGTAACCAGCGGGATGACCAGTATTATGGAAATTGTTCACTTTCCTATTTTAAACCGCTGAGTTTTATCAACTCAGAGACTAACACTCAGTATCCACTCTTGAAAGTCGTTGTCCGTCTTTCCATATAGCTTTATCGAATGTAAATTATTGTGCCCTCGGTGTCCTTAATCATGCACGGTTTTCATGGGCTCATACTAGTGATTAGACGGAAAGACTTCCAACGGTTACCAGTTATCGTGTCCTATTCTATCTCTGGCTATTTTCCTACCCAGTACTCCTCACCATCATTCTTCAGCCCCTTCATGAGTTAGCATATACTACTGGATCTGCAGCTTCTGGAAGCCTCCTCAGTAGGTTGTCGTACCATGAAGAAAATTAGGTCTTCATATTACTCCAGGTGCAGGTGTTTAGATACAAACAGTGGATCGTAGAAGTAACCTTCTGAACGCAGTTTCCATCCAAAGGTACACAGTAACCACATGTACGCAGGTTCTGCCCGGACTCCACCCATTACAACATCACATCACAGGGAAATCGATTCGATACCTTGTTAACATGCATCTCGTAGTCTAGCCTGTCCAACTCTTTAAGGGACCATGAAATTTTCGTAAATAGTTACCCCATCTATTTGCAGAGTTACGTGAATTGGTTTTCCAAGCCGATAATTTTCCGATACCTGCTGCATTTCACTAGTTAATTGGAGATTGCTATTTTCATGTCACCGTCACCCCGACAATAAATCCTCTGGGTTGGAGTTTCAATCGCAACTTAGCTTCGCTGGTAAACAAATTCGATATCGTTCCAATCAGCACCAACTCTATCTCATCCTAATGGAGCCTGTTGTGGTTCTTCTTTGATCATGGTCCTAGCGTTCATATTTCCAGTTCTCATGATAGACCAGCAGACCTCGAATATTGGGTCTACCCTTTCTGTTGTTAATCCCATCAATATACAATAAGTACACATAAAGTAAACACGGCACATGGTAATTCGCCTTCGATGATGTGGTGTTCATCATGGGTTGACCAAAATATTTATCAAAGCGAGCACATCTCCAAGCAACGATTAGTGATAAAACTGTGAGGCTCTGCAATATACCTCAATGAGCTATCGTTCTCACAAAAGTCTGTTTTTTTGTACTGAAGATTAATTGAACACCGATTACCGTACTAACCTGGTTTTGTTTGAGAGTGACCTCACTCGTTATTGCTCTATGTGTAAGATCTCTCAGCGCAGCTGATGTGGTAAAAATGTGTTTGAAATTCCCTCATTGCATGTACACGCTTCATAACGACACAATATTGATGATGAGTAATGTCGTGTGATTGCTTTTTTGATAAGATCAAATAATTCCAGCGAATTCCCTTTGCTCTGGCGCTTAATCGGTGGGTCGTAGTTTATTCTAGGGCAAATCCTTTTTCTGGAATCTGCTTGTAAAGCAACCGTAATGGGTTTCGTATCTTTGAAACACTGGGAGCTCTGTGTTCAGCTCGTACGTGTATACCTGCTCAGAGTTATAAGAAACTCGGCCATATAGGACCCATTCAGCTTCCTAAATGAGGAACTCCGTATCAGCGTAGCAGTTGGTCAGAAACACTGAATGAAATGACCAAGTTTGGCGAGTGATGGTGCTCGTGCATCTACTCATTATCCTTGCCAAATGCGTCTGTATGATCTCCGTTTATTTCTTTCGAACTCAGCTCTCAACATTCTAACTTCCTTTTACTTTTTCGTTCAAATGGACAGCCAAAAGATAGTGAACAAGGCCACCGCACAATGGTGCACGGGTATTGGTTGCAAAAGCTGAACAAGCTAGTTTCCAATGGTTTATCCCGATCTAGACCTCAGATTTCCGCTTATTCCAGGTTAGTAAAAATAACCTAGTCTGGAAAGTGAAAATTGCGTCAAGTCGCCTATTGTAAGAGCAGAGTTGTATCCGCCTTCCAAAGGACCGAGATGGTAGAAAATAATTGATTTAGATACAAAGAAAAATTGTTTATATACGGAGCCCAACTTTTTGTTCTAGCTCTCTCATCCTAACTTGTTTGCAAACTGTCTTCCAGGCTGTGGAATTACCTACGCCATCAAATACAACGGTCAGACCCGTATCCTCAGTTTCGAATGCCGGTCCGCCCGCTTCCTCCGGTCCAGTACCGTCCAGTACACCTGGTGGTTTGCGTATTAAAATCCGTTTCGGCGCCTCAGAGGTTCGTGAATCTGTGGCATCTTCCCTATCTCCGTCATCATCTTCCTCGTCACTCTCCTCTGGATCATCTCCGCTAAGTCCGTATGTTCCGGAACGGATGCCAGCCCCTGTTCGTGACCCACTGGTATCCCCACCGGGACAAATATCAATCGTTCCAATGGAAAACAAAACAAGCAACACCACAGAGTAAGTATGCATTCAATTCTTACCGTACTTTTACTAATACTGTGGCTGTGTTGTGATACATCCAATGTTCTCACGTATTTGATCATCTGCTTTGCAACACAAGTTATATATATGTCTACCATTAAATCGGCCCAGAGGTTTAGATTTGAATCCCACCATCTTCGTCGTTCCCGTTGGACATTATTTCTTCATATCCTCCGACAGCCTTTGAGCAGTTGTTTCGTTTTTCCTGAAACGCGTTTGTCCACAGGTTTGTTTGACGAAGGATTTGAATGTTATGGCGTGACTGTAAAGATTAGATGTTTGTCTACCGAAATAAATTTGTTAAACCCTGAGGGAAAGCTTGGTCAACCCATCACACACGTTCCACTCAGCCGGTAGTCCTCTGCCACGTGAAAACCTAATACTTTTCAGCCGTGATCGATGACGTCCGATGTGCAGCTGGTGTGTACTGTGGATACTGAAGGAACCAAACTATATTGCAGTTTTATTAATATATTTCACACTTGTCTGGGTTTGAACTGCGTGCCGAGCAAACCATTGTATTAAAAACTGTTTGGCAAAGCAGATCCAAACCATGATTTGTTTGTGAGCAGGATACTGCCATGCGGTCTAGAGCGGCGCTTGATTTTCTTAGGGATCTTTCATATGAGCCCTCGGCCAAACAAAGCCCGGCTAGCAAAGGAGCTATACGGCACCCACATCAGTTAATGTCCACTCGGTCGGGCAAATCACCCTTCGAGCTTGATTCACACGTTCTTGGTGGCTGATGTGCTGTCGAGTGGGTAACGATCGCAATCGGGCTATCAGACAGGTGGTTCGTAGGCCCCTTCGTGTGAGGTTTGAAATTAGTATTTTCCATTTCCCTTACACAATCTAGACGCGTCGATGTCCCATTAAGTGGGCTATCGCTCTGATGGTTCCCTTCGGAAATAGTCACTGAGCATTTGGGCACAGTCAAACCGATGGCCATTACACAGACCAAGTGGAATAGTGCATGAGTCTTTCTCGAACTGGTGAAGCCCGTACACAGCAATACTAAAGAATACTGCGTTACAGGTTGAATTCTCTCGTATCTTCCCTCTTGAACCCCTCACTGGTTACTCACTTCTGTCATGCGCATTAGCAGGAAAAAGCCTAAAATCCATGAGAACCCATTTTTCGATCATATTAGCCAACACCTTAAGCGAACCAATTAGGATCACTCGTAAGTAGCCTTATTTTGAAGCTGGGTGAGTGGACTCGTTCCCACGCATGGACACCGCCCATGCTCTGTAAGTTGGATGGGTGATTCGAATGTGAAAAGATCAGTGCTATCGGTGTGGCCTCGTAGTTCAGCTGGTAGACGTGCGCTGTACAAAAGCGTAGGTGGCCTCTGTGCATGGGTTCGAATCCCACCGAGGCTACTGAACTTTTCAGTCTAAACATATTACTGCATTTTGTCGAAGATTCCCACGCATGGTTGCAGCCGATCATTCACCGCTTGAAGACATCATGGGAAGAATGTCGGACGGCAGTGATGGTATTCCAGCTCACAACCTCCCGGCTGGTATGGTTTTGACTCCAACCACTTGTGCCCCTACCGTCCTTGCGATGGTTTTTGCACAAGAATGTTACGAATTTTCTCTCTAGATTAACTTGGTGAGACGAACTCCGGTGTGATCAAACTTCCTTGATCTCTATTTTCTATATTCAAAAAATTCCAGCCTAGTGTTGAATCTGAAGGTAGTTTTCTCTTGTGCAGATTCATGAAGTCCAAGCACCTTTTTCTCCTGACTTCCTTTCTTTGTCTAGTTTGAAGTCGATCAATGTTCCTTCAGGTTCGGATGCATTGTCGGTCACCAAAACACCGAAACTGTGAGTAAATTATGATATGATGTTTATTTGTCATGTCTCATTACCCTGAAGCGATTCTTTATTTCTCGTAAACATAAACACAGAGAAATTGAAACAACTCTAGCTAATGTCATCGGGTCTATTTGCGGACTCTGTTGACACGAGTAAAGCACCCACATTATTCTCGTGGCTTGCATTAATTTGGTAGACTTTTACTTCGTTTTACATCTCATATAACTCTTCCTGAAGTTAACTTCTCTTTTGTGTGTGCTTTTAAACGTAAGTATTGCCGTATTACCGTCCATGAACTGGTTGCTCACCCGGGTTTTCCCATGAAACAATAATCGAATTCCAAAGTTCATTGCCTTTTGTTCATGCTTGTTGAAAGAGTGATTTAATGACTTGCCATTCTTCTTCTTTATTTAGAAGGAAATCGTGACGGATAGTAGAGTAATACCACAGAGTGTGTCTGTTGAATGAGATTCAGATAGCTGTTTTCGAGATGGTTTTCTTCTTTAAATGTCTTTTTGCTACAATAATATTCCAGCAGTATCGGAATCATTAAGGAATTTGCTTTATTTTCATCCAAATCCGTTTGTTTTTACCATAATCCACATTTTTTTCGGTAATCGTTGAAAAATAGGACTCGAAAGCTCTTCGCATTACAAATAGGAGAATATAATTAATGAGAAATCCTGTTCGGTCCTTATGCCTTTGTTCTTCAAGCTATTAGTTTACCCACACCAACAATTCACTAACTTCAGTAAATAACTCTCGACAACAACACTTTCGTGGTTTATTCCAAACCCGATATGAACTCTCTTGACCACGCTCAACAGGGTTCTTAGCTTGTTACCCATTGTATTTCTAATGGAATTACTCCAGTTTTGAGAGAAAATGCATAAAAACTGAGTTGCCGTAAGAAACATCAGATTCATTGAATGATTCTCGTCTTTAAATGAACAGTCTACGAGTTACATGACAGAAGTGGAGGATTTGTTTCGATTTTGCGTTGAATTTTATCGTGTACAGAACAAATGTAGCATGAACAGAAGAACTAGGGGGTGCTGGACAACTGTTTCGACCTGGTTGGATCTCATCAGCAGTGCGAGTCCATCGATCCAACTGGAGATCGAACCCGCGACCTTGCAGATCGAGCTCAAGCATAATACTCACTCGACCACCGGGTAGCAGATCAAACTGTTTTTCGTTTTGAATAAATACGATATATCAGAACCCATATTTGCGAACCTAATGCTTTCATGTAAGATGTCATCACGTTGGAATGTTTCCAGCCGAGTTATAACCCTGGTGGTTAGGTGCGCCTCATTTGCGAAGAAAGTATCTCGGGTACAGATCCGGCGCACTCGTGTGGCTGGTAATATTAGGATCTTGGACTTGCATCTCTGATAAACAGCAGACATCATTCTTTAAATAATACATTTTTCACGCCAGATAAGCTTGTTGTCACACTGGCATCAGAGTTTCCACGTTGAAGACCCTTAAATTCAGTGATTGACCTGGCTTCAGAATATGCAATTTCTTCGATGGTGGTGGTGGCGCAGTGGTTTAATCACTGCCACTAGCGTGCTTTAGACCCTGTGATCCGAGATTCGAGTCTCGCCACCCGAATTTGGTGATAGTGAGCTCTGCTGTCGTCCGGTTCAATACCACACCTAACCTATCGTGACTTATGTGGTTCGCCGCTCCAAGTCCCGGGGCTTAGGTTGCCGGTTTCCACCACTGAACAACAGGTCCTCGTGACCGTGGGGTTCTCCCCGTCTGCTGTTCATCACACTTAGGTGTGTAACAAAAAACTACTTACAGTGTTATTTGCCAACGAGCTTTGGCGAATAACAACCAGTTTACGCGATGGAATGTTACGCATCGGAAGAAAAAAATAAAGGTTTGAACCCATTCATCACTTGTGACGTGATCACTTCACATGCACGTCATCTCAAATGGTCACGAAACGTTTGCAAGCAAATTACCAAGCTCGGCGAACAGGCGAAATGAATTTCAGTTCACCCGAGCTGCGGGCACCAATTTTCAATACTTGACCAACAGCTCAAATGTCGGTTGTTGGCTCTTTGTTCCGACCACTGCCTATTCCTTGCCAGTACG